TATACAATATGTCTCACTAAGTTGGAATCATATGGAAATTTTTTTGTATTATTGGTTTTGTGAAAAAATTTATTCGTAATAAAAGGTTCTGTATGATCCAAATTTAAAATGCAGTCATCAGATATCAATTTTTTGTAAGCTATATACGAGGTTTGTCAAAAAATATGCTTTCTGCTGAAGAGTAACGTACCTTTATTTTTAACAAACCTCGTATACGACTGATAAAATGTTATATCCGATGGTTTTAGACCATGCTCGACTTTATGAAGAATAACTTTTTTCCTAACAATAATAATAAAAACTATATTTTCAAGCTCGAAGTTGCACTTGCCTTTGTCTGTATCAATAATAACTAATAGATTTATAACCTCTGATGGAAAAAGTTTACGCTTTCGTGTAAGCTAATAGTTAAAATTATAATATCGCAATTTGCTAAGGCACGTTTAAGTATATCTGTTAAATTTGTTTGTCTTGCATAATATATACTATTTATAGACGCCTACAATCTGTGGTCTATAAGCAAGTGTTTTATGAGCTGTCGATGGCATTTTATACCATCCATAGTTCTGTCGCGGTTTAAATTTGCATAGACATTAATTAGCAGTATTTGGCATTGTAGCGCCTTGGAAGCACTACATACTAACTCCAACTCATAATATATTGATACATGTCACACCCATGCTACACATATCAATATTACCTATTAAAGCAGCTTAGTGGGAGGCAGGATTTAAGTGCACCCTATCTATCTACTTGCCGAACTCGGTTGCCAAGCATTAATATTTATTAAAAAGAAAAATGTCATTATATATAATTTTCTGTCATGAGAGAATTATCTTTTTATTATATTAATATATACCCTTTTACAAACCGCTATATCATTTACAAGATGGGATTCCCAAAGTTAAAAGATCCCATAATTGGTGACCCCGATAGAATCCGTACCTCTGATTCCACACCGCTTAATTAACAGCGGAAGCAGCCGAAGGAGTAGCAGCTAACAGCAGTATCAGAGACCACCAGCAGCATCAGGATCAGCAGGACTATCAAAATCAAAATTTTTAAACCTTAATTTACACATCCGATGTACAGGGTGAGTTTAATCTCCTTTCACTAACTGCCACACAATGAATAAAGTCATTAGAATTAGCATTCAATTCAAAAACATTTTCAAAACCAAACTATTAATCATTATTAAACAACACGAAAGCAAGAATATCAAAAATTAAAATACAAACATAAAACATATATATTGATCGTCCATGTATTTATATACAATTTACAATTATCACTTAGTAATTTCCTACATGAGTATATTCATTGACTCAAATAACAATTACTCTGTTTAAAAAGAATGTTCAAACGTGTATCAAAAGAGCCTTAACATAGCGAAGCAATCGCTTATTAAAGCCTCTTTAATTGATTAAGCAGAATCTAATAAACTATATATGGTCTACAGACACCATCATAGTTTTGGATTCAATCAATATTTTACATTTGCCATTAATTTATTCATTTTCCAATTGGTCATTTTCTATATACATAATAAAATTAAATATATATTTATTATTTATTAAAAATACTTTACTACAACCAACTATATTATTATATTTTGACGATCAACCAATTTAAACATAATTAAAACAAATTAAAAAAAAAAACTTATTAAATGAATTTTTAAAAAAAGGGGGAAAGTATTGTAGCGCCTTGGAAGCACTACATACTAACTCCAACTCATAATATATTGATACATGTCACACCCATGCCACACATATCAATATTACCTATTAAGGCAGCTTAGTGGGAGGCAAGATTTGAGTGCACCCTATCTATCTACTTGACGACCTCGGTTGCCAAGCATTAATATTTATTAAAAAGAAAAATGTCATTATATATAATTTTCTGTCATGACGGAATTATCTTTTTATTATATTAATATATACCCTTTTACAAACCGCTATGGGCCATTCGCACCGCTTCAGAATAAATTTCCCCTTAGTAAAGTGAAACTTATTATTTAAGTATTACTTATCGTAGTTTAATTCGCACCAGCCTATTAAAAAGCAACGATTAATTAAGTGTCGGATTGATTTGGCAACGTCAAGATTTTTCTAGAAAAAGAAGAAATAATGTCAAATTTGAATTTTATTTTGAATGTTTAATGAAAGCTGCGTTCAATGAGTGTATCGGATTCTTGCTGCGATTGGGGTAGCGAAATCAGCTTACTGAACGGTACGCTCAATTTACAAAAATTAAATTTGTATCGAAGGATAATTCTAATTTAATGAAACGTAGCATTTTCAATTGAAAGTGAATATGTTTATTTGCCACTTGGAGTTTTCATCAACAATGTACAATAATTTTAATATTTAAGTATTTTTTTATTATTTTTATCACATTAATGCCCAACCAGGTTGTTCTTCTAACAATCGTAAATAGCGATTGGTTTTAGGCATTCTAGGTTGATTTTAAGAGGTCTCCGGCTCATCTTTCTTGATAGAAGCAGAAACTAGCGCAAAAATTAAACGCTCCCAAATGATACGGATCGATATAAAGCAATACGTACCGTAGAACGAAAGCGATTTGTATCGGTTGGGATTGTTATGTCTCACTGAACGCAGCAAAAGTTATGATTGTCACAGGCGCAGAAGAGAAAAAACTCTCCCCTGTGTCACAGGACTATTTAAAAAAAATAGATAAATTAAGAAGTAATAAAATAGAGCACGAAGTACAGCCATAATGAAAGTAAAATTAGTATTAATTCAATTAGTTAATATAAAAAAAATTATGGAAATCATACTAACGTTGAAAGATGGGGATGAGTTTAATGCTAATTTTACAAAAAAGATTCACAAAAAAAACACTTTTTATAAAAATGGTTATAATTGTGTTGTCTGTAAAAATATTTGAGTTTGGAACCTACATATTTATTATAAGGATACTATAAATTTGCTTTAATTTCATCAAGGCAATTAAGAATTTTCTTCGGCCAATTCAAATCGCAGTGTAAAAGTAATCGTTTTTTGTATATATTATTTTATATTCTTCGTGGTATCTATTAATGAAATCAAGCATTTTCAAAGCCTCATCTTCCATTATTTCCATTTTGTGTATTGCAATTTTACAAATGTTAATAAATCAATGACACAATGACAGTCAACATCACTCAAAATTATAAAAATTAAACATTTTAAGGTTAAGTAATGGTTTAAGCTGAAAAATTTCTGGGCTTAGTAAAGTGATTCTTAACGCCTTGATAAGTGGAACTTTAATAACGGTGCAAACGGTTATGCCTTCTTAAGTGTCACTTAGATGCTAAGTAAAAGCGGTGCGAATGGCCCTATATCATTTACAAGATGGGATTCCCAAAGTTAAAAGATCCCATAGGCATTATTCGAAAGACCGAAGGAACATATAAGATTATTTACAATTATAGTATTAGTGACCAGATCTAATAAATATTAATTAATATACATTAATATTGAATTAATTCTCATTTAGTCTTTTTAAATAAGTCCAGCAACCAATTCATGACCAACTATTTGTATGGTATTAAAAATAAACTAAAAAATCTTATTACTTTTGTATTCTATAATCAGCCACACTTGGCTGAAAACCGGGTAGAAGCTAGATTAAATTAGCCCCCCTTTTATAACGTTAGCCCTCTACGAGCAGCAGGTTATACTTCTCGTTAAAACCTTTTGAAATTAAATAGGATCAACTGGAATTTTTTAGGCAAAAATCATTTTTTCTACGTTCACTATCCAAAGTAAGCTTTTGCGCTTCGAAATCCAACCGCATTGTTGACGTTTTCCACGAACCGACATTAAGTGACAGCTTAGTTGCTCGCCGAGCGACAAAATTAACAGCTTTGTTGCTCACCTAATTTAAATTAGCTATAAAATAATAATATTTATTTTTAATTAATGATTTTCAAGTTATTTGTACGTTGTTACATGTTTTTTTGTTATATTATCCATGGTTTTTGAATATCAACTTTTTTTCATTATTAACATAGGTACAGGCAACACATTATACTACTTACGACAAATTTTTAGTTTTTATATCTATTTTTTAAAAAAGTGTGATCGAAAAACAATCTTGTGAGCATTTTGAGCGAAAAGTTCTTTGCCGCTTCCTGTTTCAAGCGGCAAAGTATCACTTTTAGCTACTAATATACAAATAGCCATTTTTCATATTTTTGGACACCATATTAGATTAGCCATTTAGAAATTTAAAAATCTTATAACATATTCATAATCGGTTACTCAAAAAACCCCAAGATACCAAAGTTCATGGAAATTGGAAAAATTTTTCATTCACGCTCCGCCATATTGGACCCGTCATTTTGAATCTTATACTCTTGATATCGGATTCGTAATCCTCTCGCGTAATTAGTTTTAAAAAATTATAATCACTAAAATAAGACGTGTAACAAAGAAATTACAAAAAAAAATCGATTGTCTTTAATTTAAAGGGTTTACGAAACAGTTTTAAGAAATATAGAGCCCTACCTAATAATTGAACAAAGAAGCTCCTTATTGTTGTTATTTGCAAGTTCTAGTCTGTTGAATATCAAAAACTGATAAAATCATAACTTACATTCAGGGGTTTCTCAAATTAACTTCAAAATTGGATTCGTAAATTAATTTAAAATGAATTTTTGCCTTTTTGTTCTTTATAAATGACCATATGATTTACACAAAGGTGATAATGCCCATGATAACTTTTGGCGCGATAGCATGGGTATATGTCAACTTGAATGAAAATTGTCTTCCATTGCATTTTGACCAAAACTTTTTTCAATTTCTATTTCTGGGTCATTATATCCATAATCTATGCATAAAAAATGCTGAAAAAAAAATGCGCTACTATTTACTTAGAAAGCGAGTGCTAGCAAATAGACTAGAATCTCACACTGAGCACTGTATAGCAAACAATATTATTGTCTAAATAATAAATAATAAAAATAAATTAAACTACTATGATATATTTGTGAAATAGCCTTTTATTTTTTACTATATTTTAATATATTAGTACTAGTTTATTACACTTATCTTTGTATTAAATTATATTATATTATATTTTATATCCTTAATTTGGAAACATATTTTCTATAGGAATTTTACTAAAAAATATTTTGGCTACAGCTTCAAACACTTTTGAAAAAGAATTGTTAACTCCATCCTTAACATCATCAAATATAACACTCCAATTTTCATTTATTACTTTTAAAATATTATCGCCAAGTCTCTTGTCACCATTAAACAAATTTTGAAAATCAAAATGCGCTCCTTCAACGGTTATCCTTGCAGTATAAAGTTTAACCTTCAAATACTGTTTATTATTTTTATTTTCTTTATCGAAATGTATGTCATGTTTCAAAGCTGCATTTGCTAAAATTAAAAAAATATTAGCTGATAAAAAATTCTGTAAAAAATGGTTATAAATTTTCTTTGAATAATAAATAAAATCCTGGTTTAATAAGGGATAAAGCTTTATTACACAATGTAATTTATTTGGAAATGCGCATACGCTAGGGGTAAATAGGTGACACGGAGGTGATTTTAAATAACCTTTTAATGAGTTTTTTATTATTTATAACCAAGATACAAGGTGATATATCCATTTATCTTATTTTCACTTATTTATTACATACAAACAACAGCGAATACTGAATTAATAATAGGAATAACAATTTAAAAAGTTTTATATTCAATCAAGGCAACGTCTTATTTGAACGGACAGACCACCAATTACACCGGTCGACACGATTTTTGGATCTGGCTTCGGCATGTGAAGTTTTGGTTTCTCGTATGTTACAAATAACGGAAAAAATAATTTTATTTTTGTAGAAACTATAGCAATTTTTCGAGTTTTCAAGGAAAATAAGTGATTTATATGTTTTTTTTAATAATTTTATTTTTAAATACGATTAACAAAGTTTTACTAAATATCAAAAGAATTGTGATAAACAATAGCATAGAAATACAAAATAACAAAAAATCAAGTTCAAAAATGAATAGTTTTAGTAGTCCTATGTTTGTATGGGCTTTCACATATTAAACTCCAAATGTAACCTCCCATCATATTCTCGTTTTATTGCCCTTGGTAACGTTGTTTAAAGTCCATCACATCTTGGTAAAAGCGTTCTCCTTGCTCCTCTGAGTAGGCACCCATATTGTCTCTAAATTAATCCAGGTGGGAATGTAGCATATGAAGTTTATGGGACATTCTGCAGCCCATAATTTTAAAGTATTTAAGTATAGTTTGAATCAATTTTTCATATAATTGTCAGCTCCATTGTTAACAAAAATAACCATTCCCTACAAATTTAAGACTGTCCCAGACTTATTTTTCATGATAATTGAGGAAATCTGTGAAATCATCACTGCTCATTATTTGTTTTATTTGTGGTTCGACAAAAACATCCGCTTTTACTTTAGCTTCAGATATTTGGGAAAAATATTTTTTAAATTTGGATCCAGAGAGCCTTTACAAATTTCTTCATTAGGCCCAATTTTATATGTAACGGTGGTATCAGTATACGAGTATTCTGAGGCTCTATAATTGGTTCCGACTCGACATTATGTTTTCCTATCTGAAATTATGACTCAATCAGGCCATATACGCCATTGGTAATGTAAGGAATCTGCTCTGCTCTCCCATAAGCAAAGATGACAAGGGTATTTGGTATATTCACCTTGCATTCCCATCAGAATACCAACCATATTAAAATTGACTATTACTGGCCAATTGTATTCTGTGAATTTTAACTTTTCCAATATCATTTTCACACTATGGTAACTCTCCTTAAGCACTGCAGAATGTGCTACGGGACGAAAAGGGAGTTTCCGTTGTAAAGAATAACTGCGTTTAGGCTTCTTATAGAGCTGTCGATAAAAAACCGCTAGTGAGAAGGTATGCATGGTATTCCGATTTCCTTAAACAAATCAGTCACGCTATTATAGTACCAAATTCCAACTTCTTTGGAGAAAAAATATGAAAACATTTTATGGCGCTCTCTTTTATCAGTTATTTTCACATCATTTTCAAGCAAATTCCAATGTTTCAATCATGAACCTAAAATCTCTGCTTAATTTTTGGGTAAGATTAGGTCTCCTACTTAATCATTCAATTCTGTTGAGCTGATGAAATGTGGTCCAAACTCTGTGACTTTATCATGTATTCACTTACCATCGGTGTTAGTAAGCGGCGTACTGGATTCTGTTTAACTTTGCGATGATAGAATTATGAGATGGGAGGGGACGTTAAAGGAAATCAGTATAAAAATCTTTTCAGCATTTTCACCATCTCGACGCTTCAAGTAATCCAAGTGATTAACGACAAAATAATAACAGTCTTGCACATGGTCACTAGGTTCCCTCCAAAGTCTTGGCACTGCAAACTTCATGTGTCGGTTTTTCTATCGATACCAGGCTAAAAATAACAAAAATAACTAGTGTAATTGTGTAATTTTAGTTGTATGCATAAAACAATAATTAAGAAATACTAATATAGAACATTAATATATTTGATATATTTTAAAATTTAAACTGTTAGTTTTTTACCTTCTAAGTTAAGTATTTTTGCAATTAACACAGGCAAAGTGAGGTACCCATTTACTATCTTGAATCGAGGAGTTTAAGGTTAAAATAGGCTTCTTAGGGCCATTCGCATCACTTCAGAATAAATTTCCCCTTAGTAAAGTGAAACTTATTTTTTAACACGTTGAGTACGGTGTGGCATTTAACGGATGCCTCACTGCTTGTCTTCTTTGAGACGGCGAAGCATCAGTCAGAAAATTAGCCAGGACGGTTTTGTAGTACGTCTCGATATAATGCTACAAACATAGGAGCTCGCTTTTAGCCGTCCATAGTAATAGAAAAGTTTAGCTGGCCTTCAAAATAAGAGACATATCCTATGTTATATAAGTTTATTTTATTTGTTTTAAATAATAGTATTATTAAGGAGGTCCTTTCGCCACACCTCTCGCCTCAAATGTTAAAAAAAAAGTTATTAGATTATGACTAAAATTAATTTTTTTGTAATAGTTGAAGTCCTTATTTATCTAATACTGAACTTTTAACTATACCTTACCTTGCAAATTTTTGAGAATTTTTTTTTTAAATGTAAGTATTTGTACAGTGCCTCACGAGAAAGTAAGTCCTCAACAACAATTCTCGAATTATACCATTATTTATTGATTAGATGGAGTAGAAAAAAACTAAAAATAAGGTTTTTGAAATATTTAGATTTTGTTTTATACAATAAAATATATATAGTAAACCGTGGAACTTATTGAGAAATTAATATTAAAAAATCACAAAAAATTTTCAAGTAACCTAGTTGAAAATTTTTTGTGATTTTTAAATAATAATTTCTCAATAAATTCCACGGTAACCTATATATTTTATTGTAAAAAACAAAACCTAAATATTTCAAAAACCTTATTTTTAGTTTTTTTCTACTCCATCTAATCAATAAATAATAGTAAAATTAATTATAATTCGAAAATTGTTGTTGAAGTCTTACTTTCTCATAAGACACTGAACAAACTTACACATTTAAAAAAAAAATTCTCAAAAATTTGCACGGTAAGGTATAGTTAAAAGTTCACTATTAGATGAATAAGGACATCTACTATTAAAAAAAAAATAATTTTAGTCATAATCTAATATTTTTTATTTAACATTGGTGGCGAAAGGACCTCCTTAAGCAAAATATAAATCCAAACGACTTGTTACAAACGAAACGCTATAAAAAACTAATCTAAATAAATGCGGTTAATTTAACATAAAAAATAATCATTATTATGATATTATAATAATATAATTTTTCTGTTCGATGTTCTGTAAAAGAAAAACAATGATCGCACACCGAGGAAATTTTTTTGCTATGATAGCAAAAAATGTATTAACCCTTAAGCCAAAGTACTTTGCTACGGTTAATAAATTCACTTTTTTGGAATTACTTTTTAGTCCCTAAAAACTTACTTTTTAGTTTTTATTAATTTTAGTGGTTAGAAAGTAAAATTTTACTCACTTAAAAGTAGTTTTTTATGGTTAAAAAGTAGGTTTTTAGTGGTTAAACAGTATTTTTCTTGCAGTTAAAAAGTATTTTGTTACCTTGAACAGGCAGTTTTATTAAAGAATAATTTTTTATCTCTTAAAAATAGATTTTACTGGTTAAAAATTAGGCTTTTAGTGGTTAAAAATTAGGTACTGAATAAGAAATTACTTTCTTTGCAATAAAAAAATATTTTTTTTTAACTCTAAAAGGTAGTTTTAATTGATAAAAAATTAATTGTTTCCTTTAAAAAATTGTTTTTAGTGGTTAAAAAGTAGTATGTAGTGGTTTAAAAGTAACCTTTCACCTTTAAAAAGTAGATTTTAATGATTATACAGTTAATTTTTACCTTTAAAAAGTATTTGTTGATGGTTAAAAGTAAATTTTACTATTTAGGGCTGGTTTCTTCAGCTCTTAGGCCATTTTTCTGCAAATAAATAAAGTTCAGTTAAAGTCGAAATACAAGAATGTTTTGCATGTATTAAATGTCAAATTTCCAGATTTACCGAGGATAACTGAACTTTATAGGTATTTGTTCATAATGAAACCAGTTCTGTAAAAATAGAAAAATTAACTTTTTAGCCGTGCATTAGAAACTATATATAATTATTAGAGCAAAATTTACCTAATATATACCTACCTATATAATTTACATAAATTTTTATTTAACCTGTGGTGGAAATACAGATCAATATAGGAAAGGAAGGGTTTCAAAAATAAAAGAGACGATTATTTTGTAATAAATTAGTTATATTGCTAAATATTTCAAAAATGTATTTGAATTTTAAAAATTCAGTAGGTTATGTAATATAAAATTGTTATTTGATAATTTAAACTTATGTGTCTTTAGACGTATAATAACGTAAGGCATATGTATCAAGAAATTTCAAATGAGCAGTTAGTAGCTTTAAATTAATCCGGTATTTATTATTTGTGAAAAATCCTAAAAAAAATTTTATTCTTAATATATTGTTTTCTGTTTATTATAATATAGAATAGAATAAGAAAATCTATGCCGTTAGGATTATTAACTAAAATAGGTAGGAACATAAAAACATAATATTCTTCTATCTACCAGGTGGGCCATTCCAAATGATCCTTCCTTAATATCTAGAAAAATAAAAATTCTATTTTATTAATACTATCTCAGAAACGCAAACTTCGAATTTTAATAAACTTGAGCACCAGTCGTGGATCCTAGAAACCTCCTTACCTAGCTCAGTAAGTTAAGAATTTAGATAAAAATTAATGTCAGGTATTTTTGAGAAATGTTTAAATTTAGGTTTTTAAGGTCTGTAAAAGCTAAGGCTATACTGTTAAATGCAAC